TGACAGACTCCCCCTCGCCCCCCAGCACAATCAGGGCAGAAAAGCAGTAATTTTGAGTGCTCTTCCCTGACTGGTCACACTTCTGTCCTTATTTGCATATGCACATCCAGTCAGTCAGGGCCTAGCTGACACCCCATACATTTGGATCTTCTGGGGCTGCATGTATAGAAATGACAAGAGCAAGAGAAAGAAGCCCATCCTGATGCAGGATGTCTCAGCTCACTGCAGGCTCCTGGTGCCTGAGGCTTCTGCCCTGGACAGGGAGCTCACTGGAGGCAACCTCCAGGGCTCTACCGATGGCTACAAGCAAGGGGACTCAGGACTGCCTCAACCGCCAGACCTGCTGGAGGCAGGAGACTGGTTGTTCCTGCTCCCGCCATGGGTAACCTGTAGATGTTTTCTGCAAGGAACTTCTCTTGGTAGGTACCCCAAACCCTCTGAGAGCCTTTGAGCTACAACCCCTCACTTGGCATCCTGAAGGCTACTGACAGCAAGGAGCTGTAAGACCCGGAGCCTTTTGGCTAGGCCTCGCCAAGCCTGTGGAGGACTCAGAGATGAATCACCGCCAGCCTTCTCAGTTGGCATCCTGCTGCCTCTGAGCATTATCAGAGTTCTTGCAGTTATTCCCACGTGGCGATTGACATTACCCTGGCTTTCCCCTCACCGTCTGCACGCTCCACTTTTGGAGAGAGGGCGGGACAAGAACCCAGTTGGAGAGGAGACAGTCTCTCCCCCTACTGACTGCTTCACTTTCAGAGCTTTCATGCCGCTCTGGGATGCTCCCTTTAGCAAGAGCCAAGTTGAGAAGCAGCACCTACAGTTTAGGCTACCAGGCACTAGTGCTTATTAAAAGAAATCACTTCATTAAATACTTAGTAGATACCTTCTATGGGTTATGCATAATATGCATAAAGCACAAAGAATAACAAGACCAAGAGTGGTGAATGCCCCACTCCAGTTTAAGGTGCACAGCATCATCAGTGAGCTGCTCTCAGTCCTTGCTCTGACCTTTTTCAGAGTTTCTATCACCCCCTGCTTTTCTTCTGGTTCTGCACATTTGCATTACTAAATGACGTGATCTTGTTTTGCGTTGTTCTGAGCTGTAGGTAAATGGAGTCACACGGAACATACTCTGTGACTTTCTTTGGCTCAGCACTTCGTTTTAGAGATCCACCAACAGTGTTGCTTGCAGCTCTTGTTCATGGAGTTCTCACCTGCCCCCACTTGACACCAAGTAGTCATATGAGAAGAGGGAACCTCAACAGAATTTTCTCCATCAGCCTGTCCTGTGGACATGTCCTTGGAGCATTTTCATGATTAGTAACTCGTGCAGGATGTCTCAGCCCACTGTGGGTGGTGCCATCTCTGGACAGGTGGACCTGAGCTGTGTAAGAAACACTGAGTAAGGCAGGGGGAGCAGGCCAGTAAGCAGTGTTCCTTCATGGTCTCTGCTTCAGCTCTTGCCTCCAGGTTCCTGCCTTGAGTTCCTGCCTTGGCTTCTCTTGATGATAGAATGTAGCCTGTAAGATGAAATAAACCTTTTCACCCCCAAGTTGCTTTTTCTCAGAGTGTTTTATTACAGCAACAGAGAAGAAAACTAAAACAGCAACGTTATACCTCCATGCACACGTCAGTGTGTTTATCCATTGCACTGTGGATGGATCGCTGGGCTGCAGGACACCTTGTGCTCCTTCCTGAAGTGAGCTGTGGCTTCTTGCCCACTTCTCCTGCAGGAGCTTCTTTGGGTCTGTGGGCAGGAGTGCTGACTGTGTATTTTCAGCTTTACAAGACAAGGCTAAAGACATCATCAGTTTCCCAGCAGAAGAGGAGAATGTCTCCATCTTCTACAGTATCTTGTCAACGCTCCACATTCAGACTTTAAGAACATTTTTCCAGCAGGTGAGTGTGAGAAGTTGCATCATTTAGATCTCAATTTGTGTGTCCCAGGCATTAAAGAAATGGGCTGTCTTTCACTGTGTAGACCAAGCTGGCTTGCTTTTCTCCTTTTTCTTTTGTCCTTCCTTCCCTTGTTTTTTTTTTTTTTTTTTTTTTTTTTTAAACAAAACCTCCCTCTCTGCCCCCCGGGCCGTGACCTCTTTTTTATACACCACAACCTCTCTTTTTTTTTTTTTGAGACAGCATCTCCCTGTAGCTCCAGCTGGCCTGGAACTCATTATGTAGACCAGGCCAGCCTCTGTCTTACAGAGATCTGCCTGCCTCTGCCTCACAAGTGCTGGGATTAAAGGAGTGTACCACCAGGCCCAACTGGAACATCTTCCACAATACTTGTTACTCATGTTCTCCTAGAGTGAAGTCTAATGTCTACCCAGCACATTTCGGTGACCAGGGAGTGCCATCCCCACATTTTAGGGACTCTGGTTCCCCTGCCACCAAACTTGCTTAACTGAAGCCTTTTCTTCTTAGGTGATGCAGCTCTGTTGCCTCCAGTTGCTAGGCATTCTCCTGAACCTTCTCTCTCTCTTCTCCCATGCCATGTGCCTGGGATTACTATCATAAGCTCTTAACATGTACTTGGTCTGCCTGCGTCTTACCACTTGGACTGCCTCCATCCTGATCATTCAAGAGCTCTGAATGATTACAGTGAGTCTCATTACTTCTTCCTTACGTGCTGTCAGTCTCCAAACACAGTGAAGTCACATTACAATGTTAACACCCTAGTGGTCCCTGCTAACACTTCTCAAAGAAAAACTCAAAGCCCTTATATTGACCCAAACAGTCTTATGGGAAAACTGTATTAGGAGAAGGAAAATTAATCTTTTTTTTTCTAAAAAAAGTCTATCATATACTTTGACCCTAAGTTCGTCCATTCCCTCTTCTTTCTTTCCCCCTTCCCCTCTGGCTAGTCCCCTTATTTCCCCAAGACAGGAGTCACAAATGGTCTAGTTTATTTTTCCATTGCTGTGACAAAACACTGACCAATACCAACTTGGGGAGGAAATGGTTTATTTGGCTTACATATCCCGGGTCACAGTTCATCAGGGAGCCCAAGGTAGCAACTCAGGGCAGGAACCTGGAGGCAGGAGCTGGAACACAGACCATGGAGGAATGCTGCTTACTGGCTTGCTCCTCTGGCCTGTGCTCAGCCTTCTTTCTTATACAATACAGAACTGTCTGCCCAGGAGTGGCACCCCCACAGTGGGCTGGGCTGGGCCCACCCATCTCTCAACAATCAAGAAAATACCTCACAGACATGGTCACAGGTCAGTCCAATGCAGGAAATTCCCCAACTGAGGGTCCCTCTACCCAGGTGTATCAAGTTGACACTAAAGCTATCCAGTACAACAGATGAGTAAAAAAAACATGCCACATTTGGCTGTGCCTGGTTTATTTCACTTAGGAAGATTAATATTGAAGCAGGATATGGAAAAAGGGTATCAGCTGGGGTAACAAAAATGACGGGCTGCCTAACTTTAGCTTGTTGGAGTCGGTAGGGGCCACAGGAAGGGCATTCTTAGACACAGGTGTTTTCTAGTAGTGTCATAATTTCTATTTTTCTATTGGCTGGAGCAAGTCACACAATCTGGGCGAGATAAAAGGGTGAGTCCACATCTCTCTGTGAAGCCAGATGGCAGAGGGGTGAACCAATGTGTCTGGCAAGGGAGTGGTGTTCATTTTTTTTTTTTTTTGGTTTTTTTTTGAGACAGAGTCTCCCTGTAGCCCTAGCCCGCCTGGAACTTGCTATGTAGACCAGGCTGGCCTTGAACTCACAGAGATCCGCCTGCCTCTGCCTCCTGAATGCTGAGATTAAAGGCCAGCACCACCACATCTGCCTGAGTTTGTTTCTATTTTTGAAGTCTGTCTTCCTGTGTCCCAAGTACCAAAGACAGTGAAACAATTAAGTGGTGGTAAGCCGCCATGGACAGCTCCAACAGAGATATAAAGGGTTAAACGGTGGGTAAGCCGCCATAGACAGCTCCAACAGAGATATAAAGGGTTAAGCGGTGGGTAAGCCGCCGTAGACAGCTCCAACAGAGATATAAAGGTTTAAGTGGCTGTAGTATCTGATTAGAAAGATGCAAAATACTGTAAAATACACGTTAAAAGCGGATCTGCTTAACTTCTGATTTGGATTAACCCAGAAATCATCTAGGGTCGGTTCAGGGAAGTATATAATGGAGTTCTCAGCATGTGACTGGCCAGGTTACTAGGCTTTTCCTAATTGTTTAAGAGTGAGGTATTTAAAAAGTGGATGGTGAACTGGTTTGTATTCAACCAGTTGGAAGTTGTTGGAACACGTTCTGGGAGCAAGCTTCAGATTCTCCAAGGCGTCCCATCAAGTAAACCCAGGAGAAAAATGATAAATACTCCTTTAAATTTCCATTTTATAACAAAAACAAAGGCAATGCGGAACGGAGGGGAAACTGTTGGTACGTTTGGCAGCGCTCCACGGAAGCGTGCTGTATGGGGCCTACAGGGTCATGCACACGAACTGCACCCGAGTTGCACTGCCCATCTGCAGCCCGGGGCCGAGGCTATCTCTGTCCTCTAGGCCCCCTCTATTGTCGTATTCGCCCGGAGAGGCTGGGCTAGACCACTTCGCACCAACGGCTTCCAACCCAGCACCTGCTGCCTGGCAGCGCAGGGCGACCCCAGGCCACCTTGGCCCAGGTACTCAGGCGTCGTCGGCCCATCGCGGGGCCTGCGATCCCCACAGTAAGGGGGAGGCAGGGCTGAGGCCGCCCTACAGGTCACCCGAGAGCGTCAGACCGCGGGAGAGAGCCACCCGACGCCCACCCGAGGCCTCGGCTGGGCTTGGCCCTCCTCTCGCCAGGCTTCCCAGCCACCGCCCTGGCCCAGCCCGCAAGGTCTGCCCCCAGGGCCCCAGACCCACCCAAATCCTCCAGGCCACGCCCCCAGCCTGGCAGGCCCCGCCCTCTAGCACCTAGCTCTCTGCGACCTGCGCGGAGGCGCGTGCTTCTGACGTGAGGCGCCCTTCCAGTGACGCACAGGCCCCGCCCGGGCTCAGGCCCCGCCTCAACTGTGGCGGTTCCCCGCCCCCCCACAGCCGGAGTAGCGTCACCCTGAGCCGAGGCAGCCGCTGTGGCAGCAGCTGAGGCGGCGGCGTCCGACCCTGTTGCGGTCGGGGTGGCGGTGCGGCCGGGCGGGGAGCGGCGGTGCGGCCCCGGAGCGGCGGGCTATGGTGCGGCGGAGCGTGCGGACGTGGCCATGAAGGAGGATGGAAGGGCAGCCAGACGAGGTGTCGGCGCGGGAGCAGCACTTCCACAGCCAAGTGCGGGAGTCCACGGTGCGTGCGGGCGGGTCCCAGTCCTGCCGCCCCGATGCTGCCTTGGCCCAGATCCGCTCGGGCCCTCCGCAGCCGACCGCGCCTCACGCCTGTGCGCTGCTCCTGCACCTGCCCCCAGCCGCCTACCCACATGTCACCTGCCCCCTTCTGCACCTGCCTCTCTCATCACCTTGTGCCCTTTCTCCACTTGGGCCCCCTCTATCACCTGTGTCCCGTCCCTCACCTGTGTCCCTCACCTGTGTCCCCTCCCTCACCTGTGTCCCCTCACCTGTGTCCCCTCCCTCACCTGTGTCCCCTCACCTGTGTCCCCTCCCTCACCTGTGTCCTCTCCCTCACCTGTGTCCCCTCCCTCATCTGTGTCCCCTCCCTCACCTGTGTCCCGTCCCTCACCTGTGTCCCTCTCCCTCACCTGTGTCCCCTCCCTCACCTGTGCCCCCTCCCTCACCTGTGTCCCTCTCCCTCACCTGTGTCCCCTCCCTCATCTGTGTCCCCTCCCTCACCTGTGTCCCGTCCCTCACCTGTGTCTCTCTCCCTCACCTGTGTCCCCTCCCTCACCTATGTCCCTCACCTGTGTCCCTCTCCCTCACCTGTGTCCCCTCCCTCACCTGTGTCCCTCACCTGTGTCCCCTCCCTCACCTGTGTCCCCCCACCTGCGTGCCCCTTCCTCACCTGTGTCCCCTCCCTCACCTGTGTCCTCTTACCTGTGCCCCTCTGTCACCTGTTCCTCTTCTTGTCACTCATGTCCCCTGTCATCCGTGTCTTAGTCTCCTGGGGGAGTGACACCCACTTTCTTTTGTAACCCCTGCCTTTTTGCTCTTGGCACCTGCTCCTCTGGTCATTTGCTCACCTTCTTCATCTCTTTATCCATCTGTGGTTCCCATCCCAGTTGACCCCCAGGGCTGGGTGGTGGACTGGGCTGTGCTGGCTGTGGTGCAGGTGTGGGGGAATGGGCAGTGCTTGTGGGAATGGGCTGAGCTCCCAGCCCTGCAGTAGTCCCCCAGGCTCTGTCTTGCCTCCTGCCCATGCCCCTCCCCTCCATAGGGAGTTCAAAACCATCAGAGGGAAGATGGTCACTCTTGAGGCGGGCTGGACTGCAAGCCCTAGGGCTCTGAAGCAGTCTCCCTGGGAAGTATGGGCTCCTTTCCAGCTAGAGGGTCAGGAGGCTGACTTGGCTCTGGAAAGTCTCTTTTGATGGGCACCTTTCAGGATGCCCTACTGTGTTATAGAATCAGCTTGCCAAATCATACTGGAGTAAAAAGACATGCAAAGTCTGAGCTAATGGTATCTGGCATTGAAGCTTAAATACACAGGAAGGGCTATGTACCCTGCACAAATTTCCTATTACACCTAACTAATCCTGGATCTGGTTTAGAAACAGCTTTACTACCATCCCAGAGGCCCACTCTTCCCCCACTCTACCAAATGTGCCTGCTGCTCTGGCTTTTAATGCCGTAGGTTAATTTTTGCTTTGTTTTGAACATCATACAAATAGAATCTTACAGCATGGAACATCATTGTTGAGTGTAGATCAACAGTGTTTGTGGAATTTCTCCATATTATATGTGGTTATAATTCATTCTCAGTGCAGTGGTTGTGTGACCATAGTATAATTAAAATTTTCCACTGTATGGGCACTTCTTAGATCCTAGATTTTGGCTCTGAATATTGTTATAGTTTTTAAGTTTTTGTTATTTTTAAATTTTATGTGTATAAGAATATTGCCTGCATGTATGTAAGTACACCTGTGTTGTGCAATGCCTGCAGAGGTCACCTGTGTCCCCCAGGCATCAGATCCCCTGGAATTGGAGTTGACAGATGGTTGTTAGCCACTATGTGGGTGCTGGGAATTGAACCTGGGTCCTCTACAAGAGCAGTCAATGCTTATAACCACTGAGTCATCTCTCCAGTCTCGTGTTTGTTAATTTTTAGTACATGTTGCCGCTTCTCTTTGGTGCTAGGGACTGAACCCAGGCTCCTGCACATGCTAGACAAGTTTCCTTACACTGAGCATTGTTGCATCTAAGGGGACCGGGTGCTGTGTGCCTCTAATTCTAACACTCAGGAGTAGGATTGTGAGTTCAAGCATAGCCCGGGCTGTGGAATAAGATTGTCTCAAAGAACCTGATGCTGGGGACTGAAAGTAGGCTGGGCAGGTGCTCTACCACTTGACCACATCCCCATCCCCCAGAATCACTGCACTGGCTCACACTCCTACAGACACCTTAGGAAGGCTCCTGTCTTTACCAGGGCTTGGTATCTCCCATCCTTTTCTTATGCTGTTTTAGCCAGTATGTTTTAGCCCTAGTATGGATTCTATAAAGCAGTTTAATTTGCATTCCTTGATGACTGGTGAATTTGAGCACTTATTTATGTTTATTGGCTGTTTGGAATCTTCCATAAAGTGTCTTCAAGTTTCTTTTTCTAGTTTAAAATTAGTTCATCTTGGGCTGAGAAGATGGTTCAATGGGTAAAGGCTCTTGTCATAAAGGCTGAGGAGCTTAGTTCAATCTCAAAACTCTCATGGTGGAGAGAGAACCCAACTCCTGCTAGTTGTCCTCTGACCACTACAACTTGCACCATTGTGTACATATTCTCTCTCTCTCCCTCTCTCTCTCTTTCTCTCTCTCTCTCTCTAAATGTAAGATAAGATTTTAATATTGATTTATAAGACTTAAAAGTAAAAAAAATTGTCTTTTTGAGCATGGTCTCCCTGTAGCCCCAGCTGGCCTGAACTCACAGAGATCTGTCTACCTGCCTCTGCCTCCTGAGTGCTGGAACTGAGGGCATGTGACACCATGCCCGGCCACTTTATTTTTATTTTATGTGTATGACTGGTATGTATGTATGTATGTATGTATGTATGTGAACTACATGTGTAACTAGTGCCCATGGAGTCCAGAGGAGAGGACAGGATCCCTTGGAACTGGATTACAACTTTTAAAAAGATTTGTTCTATTTTTAATTATGTATGTATGTGCATGTGTGAGTGCAGGTGCCTGTAGAGTCCAGAAGAAGGTGTTGGATTCCCTGGAGCATGTGGGGTACTGGGAACTTAAATCAAGTCTTGTGCAAGAGCAGTACTCGCTCTTAACTGCTGAGCTCTCTCTCCAGCTCAGTCTTGAAGAATTTTCTAATTTCCTTTTCGATTTCTTCTTTGACCCCAATATTCGTGGTGTGTAGGTGTCTCTTTGTATGCTGACTTTGATTCTTTGGGTGTATGTCTGGGAGTGGTGTAGCTGGACCCCGTGGTAGTTCTAATTGTCATTTTTTGAGAACCTTCAGATGGATTTCCCAGGGGCTGCACTAATTTACACTTCTACCAGCAAGGTGTAATGGTCCTTTTTTTTCCTGTTTCCTCACCACCATTTGCTGTTGTATTTTTTAAAAATTAATTTATTTTAAAATTATTTATTTTTTAAAATTGTTTCTTTATTAACCACATACTTAGAAGAATTTTTTTTTTATTCATTTAATAACCACACAATTAGGAGAAGCATTCTATTACAAAAGCATTTGAATAACAATTTTGATAAAATTTCAATAACAATTTCCAGAGCTAAGATGCATTTCTTTCAAAATTGGCTGCAAATTTTTAGGTTTACAGTTGAATAATTAGTTATACAATATTGTACTCATTATAAACCCTACAAGACATAAAATTAAATGAGGTTTTAACCTTTAAAAAAGATCTCCATTTCATTGTTAAAATACAAAGTTTCATACAGAAAAATTCATTTTAATACTATTGACATTAAGATGTTTGCACGTGTTTCTAATCTTTATATATCAGATTATTACTAGTGACAGTCGGTTACTTTCTGAGTTCCTTGTCATCTGAGCATGGATATAAAGTCGTCAGGTAGATTTTAATGGTAATGTTTTTCACATCTACTAATTATTAAGGAGCAGATTTTTACGCTCTGAAGAATTACTATTTTTTAATGATTATTTTTAAATTTTTTAATAACTACATGATTAGAAGAAGCATTTCACTACAGATTTAACATTTAACATAGAATGTATTAAATAGCAACAGGTGTCTTGTCCCTCTGGCCATTACATTCTTTCTGCCCCCTCTTCTGCAGTGTCCCATGAGCCTTAGGTGTAGAGGTTGCATTGTAGATGTGTCACTTAGGGCTAGGCAACTCTCAGACCCTTATTCGCTGTGTATAGGCAGATGGGGAACTCCATGGTACTCTCCATCTGTTGAAAAAAGAAGCTTCTTTGATGAGTGGTGAATGGTATACTTGTCTGCATATATAAGCATCCATATTTAGCATTCAGTAAGGAGAAACTTCCCTTAGAGTTATTGGTCAGGGTAGTTCAAGAGACTCCCAAAACAACTCAGGCTATTGCCACAGACCTTGATTGACTGCCAGAACTTGAAGGTAAGACCCTATTTCTGAAGACAGGACATACTTCCAGCCCAGCACATAGAACATCCCAAACCATCTTATTCAACTATATACCCACTTCCCAGATGGCACCCTCCCATAGCCTCCCCCCCCACTAGAGCCCTTATACTCTGATATACCTGCTACTGTCTCCTGTGTTGTTGGCACCCCCAGCCATCCCCACTTCTTGCCCTTCTGGTGACTCTAGTCAGCCTATCTAGAGGTCTTTGTTTTAGGAGGATCAGCTGTTCCTCATCTAGCAGCAATCAGATGTG